ATATATATATATATATATATATATATATATATATATATATATATATATAAACGAAGCTTGGGGTGGGAACCCATAATGCTCCCAACTTTGTTGTTGTACAGGTAGTCCTCACTTTACAACAGTTCAAAGATACTGAAAAGGTGGCATGGCCATTTTTCAAAGTTGCAGCCTTTGTAGCATCCCTACATGATGATGTGATCAAAATACAGACGGTTACTTATGATCAATGCTGTGTCCACAGGTCACGTGATCACCTTTCGCAACCTTTTGACAAGCAAAGTCAATGGGGAAGCCCAATTCACTTAACATCTGGGTTTCTAATATATCAACTGCAGGGATTCATTTAACAATTGTGGTAAGAAAGGTCATAAAATGGAGCAAAACTCACTTAACAACATAAATTTTGGGCCCAGTTGTGGTTGTAAGTCAAGGACGACCTGTACTTAGATTGCATGCTTAAGGATGTGATGACCATATTTCCACCTGTATTTTACTTCTTAACTGTTCATCCATAGGAATGCCATTGTTTTCTCTAATGGGGGATGATATTTTGGATTTGAAATGGTTAGAAATGGCTGCCACTAAGGACGGGTTTGAAGAATAGCTTCTCTCCCAAGTAGCAAGGTTCACGATCCCTGTTAATAATGAATGTTAACCTTCTTTGTTAGGCTTAAACAAAATGTCACTCACTTTTCTTCCTGCCAGTTTCTACTTCCCCTTACTTCAAGAGTTCCCGGTCTTGAGTCATGACCTCCAGGGTCACAGCAGTTGTGAGGGAGGTTGCTATGTTTGGGGACTTATGTGATCAGAACTGCAGATTGGCTAAACTTGTTTTGGCGTGGCTGAAGCAAAGCAGAGAGCAAAGTGCTGGAACAGCGCCAATTCATCCACACCACAGGATGAATTGGCAAGGCAAACACTGCACCAGTTTGCAGCAGAAGGGGAAGACACATAGTCTCATTTCCACTTGAGTGCCAATGGCCATGGAGATACTACTGGCATTTGAGGACATAACTGGGGCTGCTAGGCTGGTGAAGTCAGGAGCCTTAACTTTTCTCCACAGCATAATTCTTGATCCAAAAAGTGTAAGTCCAAGCTCAGGATTGTCAACCACATCAACTTGCTCCAGCTAGATATTTGGCAGTTGAAAGCAGATTGCCCTCACGATTGGTGAAGAAGGATAATCTTGCTCAGTAGTCAACATCAAAGGCAAAGGGAGACTATTTCTGCCCACAAACTCACAACATCCCAGAGATAAAGAACAGACATGATTAAATTCCTCATTAACTAACCTCTCTATTTCATTTGACCAGTTTGCTTATTTTCCTCAGACTATTTCCCCTGATAATACAGATTGATTTTGCTTTCTGAAAAGAAAAGTCTATTGTGTAGCTACATCAGGTTGTTGACTAATGAATGGGGAGTAGTTTAGAGTCAATACCTGGACTGAGGTTGATAGTAGATAAAACAAAGCATTTGTGCTTCCACACAGGAAAATGTGGTAGGGAGATGGATAAGGAGTTTATAATCCTAACATATCTAGTGGAAACCAAGGGAGGGAAGGATAGCAAAGAGGTGAAATGAGGATTTGCCCAAATAATTGAGAAACATGTGCTACTTTTCTTCTAATTGTTGAATTGCTTTATCTTCCAAAAAGTGGACAATCTTGGGAGCCGAATCCCACTGATGTGTATAGTTAGAAAAGGTAGGAATTTTTTTTTTGTACAGGTAGTCCTCAACGTAACACAATTGAGGCCAATATTTCTGTTGCTAACTGAAACATTTGTTAAGTGAATTTTGGTCTATTTTACAACCTTTAGTTGTTAAGTGAATCATCACAGTTGTTAAGTTAGTAACACAGTTGTTAAGTGAATCTGACTTCTAGCTTTGAACAGTCACTAAATGAATTGTTGTAAGTCAGGGACTACCTGTAGTAAACTTTTCTTGCATTGGTGGTAAATATAAGAAATAGAAAAAACAAAGGTTGTTAAAGAGGAATCGATCTATTAACTAAGCAGAAATATGAATTCTGGGATTTGTAATTAAGATCTGCAAGAACTGTAATGAAGTAGAGTTTGGAATTAAAGCAATGTGAAAAATCCATTATTTTCTCTGAATCAAAAGACGGTAACATGGAGAGCTTTGACAGATTTATAATGAAAACTCCTATTGCTATATAGGGATTTGCTCCATGACAAATCTTTTTATTTTCTTACTTCATATCAATATAATGTCAAGACTAATTATGTTAGAATATATAGGTAGCCAGAACCATTAAGGATTCGCATCTAAGTGTGGAAATAGTATTTTACTAAGAAGATGCTCAGTTGCTGGATAAATGCTGGAGCTTTTACTCAGCAGGTATTTGAGAGTAGATGAAACATGTCCCTTTGTCACTGATTCCATTTTACCTCATAAAAGCGCTGTGTGTTAAGAGTGTTCTAAAACGGAAAGTACTGGATCAAAGTTTCCCTAGTGAATGAATAGCAATTTCAACACAACCCTGACTTAACATGCTCTGTCATATCCTAAATCATCCTGAGGTTAGTTTTAAAAAATTCTACCTTGTGTTATTTATGTTGCCTTGACTCTCGTGCATCAGATATTGTAGATATAAAACCAGCAAACATGGAAGAATTGACAGAAGTGATTACAGCTGCAGAATTCCATCCGCATCACTGCAACACCTTTGTCTATAGCAGCAGCAAGGGGACAATAAGATTGTGTGACATGAGAACATCTGCTTTGTGTGACAGACACTCCAAATGTGAGTATGCTCCAGCCATGTGTTCAAACATATAGTAAAAAGGGAATTTTGTATTATGGAATGATTTCCCCTAGAACAGGGCTCGGCAACCTTAAACACTCAAAGAGCCGCAAATGTCCTAACCGGAAGCCCCCCATTCAATTCTGGAGCCAACCAGAAGTCCGGTTACCCCATCGTAAAGTCTCCTCCTAGCGTGGCGTCCTTTTTCCTCTACCTATCCTAACTGAAAACCCTATCAATTGTGGAGCTAACTGGCAACTGGGAGCCGCAGCAGAGAGAGGAAAGAGCCACATGTGGCTCCAGAGCGACGGGTTGCCAACCCCTGACCTAGCATATAAAAGAAAAATGCATATGTTTTGTTTGTGATAAGTGTCCTCCATTTATCCTTGTACAAGATAAAGCTATAAGAAAAAAGTACAGCAACCTTTTCCTTTGGTGATCAATGACTCCTTTCTACTTTGCTAACTAACATGAGGAATGATCCTTTCCTTTGCCTGTGAAATCCATCCTACTGGAACAAGCAACACCGAGAAAACACTTCCATAACTGATTCATTGGTTTTCAGGTATCTTCTTTGGATTGTTCAGAAAATACACAAAAATGCCTGGATGGTGCAAGAAGAAATAGCATAAGCAGTGGAGTGCTTATTTCATGTGTGGGAAACGTGGTTACACCACTAGGTTTTGTCACTATGAAAGAGGGGGAAAATGGAATGGTTACCAAGAAGGACCCAGTTTAACTCTATTTTCTTTCAACAAGCAAGAGATAACATTTCTTCCATTTTTCACTTGAAATTTTTTAGAAATGGAATTGCTTACCAACTTCAGAACATTTCTGAATGTTTGAAGTTCAACCATTGACTAAAATGGAGAATTTTGCCACTCAGGTGGAAATATTACATTACGGTCTTATTTTGATTAACAGGGGTGAATGAGCAGCTAAGATCATCTGTATAATATAATTGGATTGTAAATAGAGGCTTCATTCATTTTCAATCTCTGAAAATAGAGGTTGAATAGAAATTGTTAAAGTTAATCTCAAAATAAAGTTAACGTAGTCTGAAACTAATCTTTTTTTTACAGATAAGAGTTTAAAGTGAGGAATTGTTTATTTTGACTCACTGTAACCGAAGTGTATTTGGGTATTGCTGTTGTTTTGTGAGTTCTTAGATAATTGTCTCTAAGTCACTTACACCAAGCAAATCAGAATTTTGGAAATGATGTGGCATTCATCCAGACATAATGAATTATGGTTTACTAAAAAAAAAGCAATACAAGCTTTAGTCTGTTTCTCCTCCCTGCTCCAAAGGAGAAAATCAGAGGTATTTGGTTCTAATTTGCATAAAATTATCCTCTGATTTAATATCTAAGAATGCAATCACAGGTGTCCATAAATCATAGCTTGCCTGTAAACCAGGGTTATGCCCTATATCACATAGGAAGTGATTGAGACAATAATCCAGATTAAGATATGCTCCCACTTGTTCCTGCAATGATATATCATGGTTTGGTGCTAGAGTTGAACCAATTTATTTCTGCTTTTCAATATACCAGGAGTGTCAAGCTCGCGTCATCACCGCAGCCTCACATGACATATCATGACTTCCCCCCCCTTCGCTAAACCGGGTGTGGCCGTGGCCAGTGCGTGATGCATCTGACCCGCAGGCCGTGAGTTTGACAGCCCTGTCCTATACTATGTTTTCCATTGTTTCTTAAACAAGATCCACATTTTAACTTCTATAAATATTGATTGACTTCCTAATATAAACACGATCAATTTCCCAAAGTTTTTGTGATCACTGACTATTATAAAGTACGTTCTCCTCCTTTTTTTGAACTGTTGAAGTATAGTTCGGGATGAGGAATTAACTTCTAAAGGCAATGTCCTTCTAGGACAGAGATGGCAAACCTTTTTGGCACCAGGTGCCCAAACCGGAACTCATGTGCGTGCATGTACGCTCATGTGCTGGAACACCAGGAACCCAAAAGCTAGCTGGTCTTTGGGTTTCTGATGTGCACATGCATGCCAGCCAGCTGGTATTCGCGCACACTGGCGCACCGGAAACCCGAAGACCAGGTAGCTGACACACACATGTGCACCAGACAGCTGGTCTTTGACTTTCTGGCACTCCAGTGCATGCAAAGACCAGCTGGCTGGTACGCATGCACATGACAGAAACCAGAAGAGCAGCTGACACTGATGTGCCTGCCCGCAGAGAGGGCTCTGCGTGCCACCTCTGCACACAAGCCATAGGTTTGACATCATGGTTCTATGACAGTGATGGAGAACCTTTTTTTTGTGCACATGCCAAAAGTGGGTGGAGTGTAGTGGGGTCGTGCGTGGACATGCCACACCCATAAAGCACAAAGACAGTTCGCGTGCATGCATGACCAGCGCTCCCTCCCATTTTTGGTGTGCTTTTTTCACCCCCCAGATGCTTTATAGGAGCCTGGGGAGGGCAAAAGCAGCCTCCCTTGTGCCCCCCAGAGGCCCTCAAGAGGCTTCAGGAGCTTCCCTGAAGCCTCTGGAGTGCGAAAAAGTGACCTTACGGGCAAACCGGAAGTTCAGGAACAGAAGCTACTGAAGAAGCTTCCCTGAAGCCTCTGGAGGACTAAAATCCACCCTACGAGCAACCTGGAAGTCACTTCCCAGCTGACAGGACAAGCCTTGCGTGCCCTGACAAATGGCTCCCCGTGCCATAGGTTCGCCATCCCGGTTCTAGGATAAAAAAGTTTCCAGTGCCTATATTGCTATTGTAATTTACAGTGCTCTTTTGCTACCGAATCAGTTCCCAACCTCTAATAACCAGCTTCTTGAAATTATCTCTTCAGTCTTATCTCTCCGACTTAGTGGGAAATGTCATAGCAGCCAATTATTTGGCTTCTGCAAATGTCTGATTGTATACTGATATCTATCGCTTGAATTCCTTGGTTAGCCTGGGGTTTTTTTCTTCACTCCTTCCTCCCGCAGTCTGATTACTATAAAATAGACAGTTCAGTTCAGATTAAATATATTAGTAATAAGACACAAGCTGGAATCATTTCCTTCCTTTCCCAACAACAGATCCCTGGGCTTGGTTAGTGTTATTCCTTTGTTCTGTTGCTGCTGCTGCTGCAGTGTCCTTCAGTTTAGAGCACATTCAAAGCAATTGTGAAAACAAGTTCAGATTGATCTCTCCCTTGATGGCCGATATTGATTCTCTCCCCCCCTCCCCCCCCACCATCCTTCAGAAGTGCAGCTCCTCAGTCGATTGTGATTCAGCAGACCTAGAAGTTGGAATTTAGGCTGTTCATCAAGATTCAAAATAAATGCAATTCTGCCCTTTAAAGATGATCTTCCCTACCCCCAAAGGAAATCTTTGATAAATGTGCTTTAAATGCCTCTTCTCTAGCACATCCCAGACCTGTGGTTTATTCCTCGGTTTTAATTTAAAAAGCCGACTCACAATTCTTCTCTGGGCAAAGAGCATTCTTGTCATAAATATGGCTGTTCACATCTCATGATCTGTCCTGGATCTTTAGTGAAAAGAAGGACCAGGGATGATATGATATGATAGCACTGTTTCAATATCTAAGGGACTGCCACAAAGAAGAGGGAGTCAACCTCTTCTCCAAAGGCAGAATGAAGGCAGGACAAGAAGCAATGGATGGAAACTAATGAAGAAGAGAAACAACTTAGAACTAAGGAAAAATTTCCTGTCAGTTAGAACAATTAATCAGTGGAACGACTTGCCTCCAGAAGTTGTGAATGCTCCAACACTGGAAGTTTTTAAGTAGAGATTGGACAACCATTTGTCTGAAATGGTATAGGGTTTCCTGCCTGAGCAGGGAGTTGGACTAGAAGGCCTTCAAGGTCCCTTCTAACTCTGTTATTCTGTTAATACAGTTTTGTACCACCTTCATTGGCAAGTATGCCAGTACTCTCTCTCCTTACCACCCCTTTCCTTTATCACTTGGGAAACATGTATTAAATGGGATTGTGCAACAAGGGCTGCTGTATTTCCCTGCCAGTTCTGATTGGTGCTCCTGGATTATGTAAACTCACTTTTTCATCTTTGATAGATTCTACTTTCAAAATGCATTCCTCTTCCTCACTGGCATTTGTAAGGTTTGACTTGCTAAAAAAAAAATCATTTACCTGACACATTGCAGTGAGATACTGTGCCTGGTGCAGCAGAGAGTTGGCGAGAGAAGGAGAAATGGGTTAGGAGAAGCACAGGAGCTTATAATGCAGTTGATTTCAATGCAGTTGTATTTTTAATGAGAGCAGAAAGCAGAAAGTCTTAACTGAAAAGGGAAAATGTAGGAAGAGAAATGTAATGTCTTCACTTTCTTTTCCAACTTGTCAGGTCAATTTGGCAGACCTTGAAGCAGCCGAACAACCTTCCAAATCACAAGCAATTTTTAACCTTTTTCAGGTTCTTGTTCCCAGTTCTGTGCATATATATGCCCTTAGATTGTCTTATAATGGCATGTCTTTTCATGGCCCACACCATCTTCACTGGGTGAATATGCCCAGCAGTTGGACAATCTGCCATCCAATGTCTACCTCCAGAAGTCACCAGCAGATCACATTCGCCATTATTTTTTTAAGTCACCCAACCAAGTTCAGTGTTGTTGTTGCCTTCTACTCTCTTTTTCAGCCCCTTTTCTATTAATTCTCTACTTGCTTCAATCCAACAACACCCCTGTTATTCAAACATACTGTATATCTTAACTCAATGTCTACCACTATCCCTTCTTTCGTTTTCCATCGAGGACTTCTATCACTTTCTCCATTTTCATCTCTTCTTATCACTGGAATTTCAATCCATCCACACTCAGAGCAATTTTGGGGGAAAAATATTGCAGAAGAATGTTTAAATCCTTAATTAAAATTCTTTAAGTTTGATCAAAGGTGAACCTCATGGTTGCTTAAGCATTTGGTATTGATTTCATCACTGTAAGGAAAGGGCCGACGTATCTTATGTGTGGGAGCAATAGAAATTTAGTACTACAAAT